ATGCAGCCTTTGGACAAGTGTAGACTCTATTTACCAAAGACTGTTTTGGAAAGCAGATGGAAAATATGCTAAAATATTTGTACTATGGGAGACCAGTTTGAATAATCTGTGGATGCACTAGGCTAAAAGATAGATATTCTGTTTATAGCATAGTGCTCTTGTGAGCAATGTGCAATTTCCAATCTTGTTTGCTTTTGCAAAATTGAATGACTCAGAATGTAATTATAGCTAGGTTTTTGATGGATGTAGCTTTAGAAAGGGACTGGTTTATGTCTTGATGTGTCATCTTAAAATCAGAACTTCTAAAATTGTTGTGCTAGCTTCCATAGTAATTGTCCTGTGAAGCATCTGGGTATACTTTGGTTACAAATAACATTGTACTTATTCTATCATTTATGGTGTAGGGGGAGGGTGTGAAATAACATTGGTATTTGTTTTGAAAGATTTTTTTTTTTTTTTGCTATTCCAATAAAATTAGGAATATATTCATTACGTTCAAACAGTTTATATTATGAAGGTGGAGAAAGAAAAAATATTAACTTGTCCTTAGTGAATAAGTGGTTACTTAACTATTTATATAGAAAGTATGGTAGTTATTTACTTATGGCCATTGGAACTGGAATTTCTGTTACTAAATAGTATAATCATAAAGCAGTGAGTCAAGGAGTATGGACAGAGCTCAGGATCAGGGAGGATGCAAGGGGGATGCATGAGGGGCACAGTGAAGATCAACAAGGATGTCAGCGGGTGTGTGAGAGGGGCCATTCACATCAGACAGGGTATATGGGGAGCCAATGGGAGTCAGGTAGAGTGTGTTTGGGGGAGGGAGGAGTGCCAACTCAGAGATGCTGGCAATCTTTCCAGCTGACTTTCCCATTGACTTTCTGGTTGGTAATCAGAGTGCTGCAGCCAGTCATAAGTAGGATCCAATTGCCAAGCGGCCAGATAATGATCAGGTGATCTTGGAGTTGCTGGTATGGGCAGATCTCCATAGCCATCATTTGTTCAGCAACATCACAGCTTTGAATGGTTACTGAACAAGTGATCATAGATCAAGGACTAACCGTAGTTAGTTTCATTTTATCACGTGTCTATTGCAGGAAGAACATTCTGCTGTAACCTCTGAATTTGAAAACTACAAAGTCCGAGTTCATAATGTATTAAAACAAAAGAATAAATCTTCACAATCTGAAACTGATGTGACCAAACAAGAAAGGTAAGCTCCTGGCTCAAGAATCATCTTTGAAGATAGAAGAGTGATCATCTGGAATCCACTATTTTGTATAAAGTCTGGATAATTTCTGTTCTGATTTTTTAAACAGAATATTTAATCAGTTGGCTAATTTTACCTTTAAAATTGGCTGAATGAGCTAATATGCTAAAGAACTGATTAGCTCTTTCTCTTGTTCTTTTTTCAAGAAAGGAATATAAAAGAAAATTTACAGTTTTTTTAAAAATCTCTTTTCCTTTCTATTCTGTGAAAATCTCACCACAACTGAAGTCACATCTAAAAAACCAACGTAAAGCAGTCCTAGTAATTGACCTAGGTTTGTATTTTATGTGAAATATGTCATTTTAGTGTGTTCAGATCCTACAGCTACAATTCAGTCTGTAGCCATAAGTTCATATAATATCCATATAACTGGATAGCAATGCATTAGGTTTCAAAGGATCCACTTGTCCAAGAAGTGGGAATCAAGAAAAATTCCCATTACCTAAATCAGTTTTCTCAACCTTAGCAACTTTATATGTGGACTTCAACTCCCAGAATTCCCCAGCCAGGATGCCATGAGAAATATTGATCTAAATGTTCTCCAGAATAATAATAGCATAACATTTCATTCCATGTACATTTCATGGAGTATACATTCTTGTGAATATATTTTAGAAAACTCAAATCCATTTATTACTTCTGTCACTATTATTTTACAATTCAATTATGCAACGATACTAACCACATTGATGTCATAATAATATTCAACAAAATACAGAATGAGTTTTAGAGGTCTGAAAATAAATAAATAAACAAATAAATAATATTGAATGTATATGCCACACGACTCACAGTGATCCTGGAAATAAATAAAATGTATTGAAACATTTAATGTGCAGCACTTTAAAGATCATCAAATGACCCACTTCCAACTTGAGAGACAATTTTTCATGAAGCTTCCTGTTCAAAATTGTTCAAATTGCTCATCTATATGTTAATAACTTGTAACTTTTAAAGAAGCAAGTTATACATTTTCTATGCTTGTGAAATTTCCTTTCTTTTAGAGAACATATGGAAACAGTAATAGAACAACTGAAGATTAAATTGCAAGAGACACAACATAATTTACAAACAAACGTGGTAGAACTTCAGACTTTGCAGTCTGAACATGATGCATTGTTGGAGAGGCACAATAAGATTCTTCAAGAGACCGTAGCAAAGGAAGCAGAACTCCGAGAAAAGTAAGTTTTTTTAGTATATATTTTTTTACTGTTGGCTTATGATTAGCCATGATTTGTTTTTAATTATGTGTCCAAATATTTTCTTCATTAATAATATTTATATCTAAAAATCAATATCCCTGTAATGGATGTATCTCTTAATAAAGTAATCTGTTTATAGAAATGATCAGCAGTGGTACAATAGCTACTCCTTCCTTTTAGTACCAGGTATTTGTTACTTTTTCTAATATTGAAACTTGGGTGGGTGTGATATTTTACAGACTTTGCACAATACAATCTGAAAATGTGGTAATAAAGTCAGAACATGCACAGATTGTGAGTCAGCTGACAGCCCAGAATGAAGCTCTTCGGAATAGCTTCCGGGATCAAGTCAGACATCTGCAAGAGGAGCACAGAAAGACAGTGGAAACATTACAACAGCAGCTGTCTAAAGTTGAAGCCCAGCTTTTTCAACTCCAAAGTGAGCCAAGCACCAAAAGTAAGCAGTGATCCATTTTTCGTGGGGGTGGGGGATGAAAAATCAATCAAGGCTACCTAATCCACTATACTTATATGCCTAAATTTAAATTAAGATTCTTCTCTTGGTAAGTCACATGCATTTAAATAAATGATTTTAAGATGAAATTTAATTTAATTTTTGTTACTAAATCAAGTGACTTATTTTATTATGGTCTGGGAAGATTCAGCTGAAGACAGTTTAGTTCATGTAGCAAAGTTAAAGGCACCTGTACTATACTTACTGTGTATAATTGATAATTTAATGCAATGGCTTCATTTGCAACAAAAATGAGTAGTGATTGATTTTCTTAAAATATTTTGGAGCAGCTATGTAGAAAGCAACTTGATGTTTTTGATGCTGNGTGTGTGTGTGTGTGTGTGCATACACATACATACATATACACACAAACTTTGTTAATAGATTTTCCACTTGAATATTTTCATGTTGAAAGAGCTAGATGCATTACTTTGGAGACTTGCTGGCAATTGTACAGATTATATTTGTAAAGCTTTGAGTGAGAATCAGAATTTAATGGGCCAAATATCTTCATTGAATAGAACATTCCTGTGTCTTGGGTTCTCCCTAAGCTATAAAAATGCTCCTGTAGAATTTGAGAGTCTTTGAAAGACTGCAGAAGTGCTGTGGGATATTTAAAAGAAAAATGGATCAGTGAAAAATATATCTTTCCATTCAGATCATCTTTGCCACCGTGATTAACTTTTTTTTTCTGCCTGTAGGTACAGTCACTTAGAGAAGAGCTGGAATTAATAAAATCAGAAAAAGAGCAACTCTCTTCTTCAATGGCAGACATCATTCAGGGAGCTGAGAGCTATAAGGTAAAGCATCTTCATCTTTACCAGGTGTATTTCAGTAACAGGCAACTCTTTTGGTCCAGTATGTGGAAGTAGAATTTTGAGAACATGTTAAAAATTTTCTCGCCAAAAAGCTGTCCTGGTGTGATACAATCACATACCAAACATCCATTCATCATGTAAAAAACATAGATATTTCCCCAAATGCTATCTTTTCCCACTTTCTTCTGAACCCAGAAGTCATTGAGCAACAATTTTCCATTCTGAAGTAATGTTAAAGAGGAAGCTATACAATTGGAGGCATTTTTAGAAATACATATGATGCTGAAGCTGGTGTATAGTATAGCCTTTATTGCCATTGTACAAAATAAATACAGTGTTTTTCTATGAAGCATGCTAGTGTTCCAGCAATATAGCTTTCACACAAGATTACAGAAAATAAAATGTAGACTTATTTCCATTGGGGTAAAAAGTCAATTTGTCTAACGTAGTGATGGGGTAAAGAAAACGATGCATCTCCCTTGTACATGTGTAATGCACTATGGGCCTATATCTGTTCCAACAATGTTTCAAATTATATGTGCTTCCCAAGAATCTTTTATTAGAATATGACAAGCAAGCAGAACAACTGGATTTTCAAAAGACTCGAGCTCGTAATTTTGAACGTCAGATTGATGACCTGACCAAACAGTTGGAGAATTCAGTTCAGCAGGTATTTATTTAGTAACGTATGTAATAAATAATTTGTTACTTGTATTTGCAAAGCAGAGGATAAAACTAAGTGGAAGAAATGGAGAGAGAAATTGGGAAAACAGACTGCTGTTTAAGGCTCCATTGTAAAAGCAATGCCTTTGACAATAGACTTCTGATCTTTTAGTCCAGCTTTCTATTGTCACTAGTGAGTAGCCAAATATCTGTGGAAAGCTTACTGAGGTGCTGCTCTTGAATGTTCTGAGTTTTCTTTTTTAAAGAGAATTTTCTGTTCTGCCAACAATTTATTTAATATTTTTCATCTTTTATCATCAGGCAGGCAGTTTTTTTGACAGAACAACAGAAGGGAGGGGGGGAGAAGCCCTTTACACACTTTTTGCTCTGATGTACACAATGTTGGCTTTACGCTTTCTCAGCTCTTAATAGAAAATTAGTAGCAAACTTAGCTCTTGCTTCAGGCAGTGCAAATGTTTAAATGATAGCTTGTTAAAAGTTCCCATATACAGAATGGAATAATGATTTGCCATCAAAATTGTATTACTTCTTTATTTTAGCAAGAACAGTGGCATTCTGCAAATGAAGACCTCTTGACTCGTGTTGAGACTCTTCAGACTAATGTCAAGCTGTTAGAAACCCAACTGCTAGAAATCCAGAAAGCCAAAGCGAAAGTGGATAAGGAACTTGAAGCTGAGAAGCTTCTAAAAGAACAAAAAATGAAGGTAAGCAGTACAATTATAAAAGCAGAAAATAAAACAATTACTTTGATTATTTGAATTTAGAGCACAAACTATTTTTGCAGGACCATGCTAACTCTGTCAGAGAAGTGGAAGAATTTCAGACATTACTACAGAAAGAAAAGAAGCATCTTCAGAAAGCTTTGGAAGAGCTAGAATTGGCAAAGAAGGTTGATGAGTAGTTTTCTTATTTGCTTGTCATACTTTTAGTTAAATATTTATCATCTTTTGACGTTTGGTTTTGATAGTTTCAGAATCCTAACTTTTATTTGAATAATAACATATTAATTTAGAATATGAGAGAAATAGCTAATGACTTACAGACAAGGAATAACATGTTTTAATTTTACATGATGCTGAATGTTTTGATATACAGGATGCTCACAAAAGTACATTGATGGATATGGAAATAGCTGATTATGAGCGTTTTGTAAAAGAACTTAATCAAAACATTGCCGACAAAAGTAGCAGAATTGAAGATCTCGAGCAAGAAATTAAAATACAAAACCAGAAGAAAGAAATTCTAGAGGAAGAAATCAGTAAGCAGCTTCTTAGAATTTAAGCTTCCCTTTCTGTCTATAAAAGGATATATATCAGTTCAAGAAGGCTTTGAATTCTGATTCAAAGTAATGTGCTATAAAACTAGCATATTTTAATACAGTGAAACTCAGTAGCCTGTTAACAGACAGGAATATATGTTCCCAGAATTAATATTGTTGCTATGGTTAATATTGTCTAATCAGTTAAATGCTTATTAAACAAGCTTTACTCTAACAACTATGTTGTTAGAGTTAAAAACAGATCATTGAATTTTTGTGCAAACTTTTGTACAATGATGTGACTTGCTGTTATAAACTAAAAGAAGTACAAGAATTTTTTTTCAATAAAAGAGAAGCTTTATTATGCAAGTAGAATTTGCATAAACTCCTAAGTAGGAAAATCGTGTTTAATTAAATTTCAGCTGTTTTTCTAAACAAGTCAGCAACAAGGATTACTTTGTTCCTTAGAATCTTTACAGAACTCTGTACAGGAGTACGAGGAAAAGAATGACAAACTCAAGCAATTACTGGTAAAAACAAAAAAAGAGTTGGCAGACTCAAAACAAGCAGTAAGTTTATGTTTTCCACTATTAATTCAGCTTTCCTGCCTTCTGACAACAGTATACTAATGTTTTCATGGTGTTCTTATGAATATTTTTTCTATTCCAGGAAAATGAACTTTTAAGATTTCAGGCATCTCTCAAGGGAGAACTAGAAGCCAATCAGCAACAAATGGAAGATTATAAGGCAAGATCCTTCCACCACCCCCTCCACTTTCAGACTAGTAAAAAAAGAGTATTATATCCATATCGATATTGCTTACAATGTCTGCTTGGGATGTGTGTATTATAACTTGCACTCCTCTTTCAATTCATTGAATAAATTTGAACTGTGTGAATACTGTATGTTTGTTTCATCACCAGTGATGCTGTGGATATTGCAATGGCTATAAAATTTATTTTCATTCTGGGAACTGGAACTCAGGTATTCAGGGCAATTTCCCCACATTTGGCTAGAGAGGATTTTCCCCAAATATAAGGAGCAGTAGGCCTTTCACAGAGGATCCCTGAACTGGTCCTGGATGCATGAGGCAGTTCCTGAATTACACAGGAATTCCTTTTGCATTCCCGTTTTTGCACATTTTGAATCTTGGGCTGCATGTATGTAGAATACAACTGCTGCAATTTTGTACGTGCATCAATATGACAGCCTCCATTTTATGTATGTAAAAAGCAGCAGCAGCCATTTTCACATCCCTTCGTGATGTACATGTCAAGATCTACATTTGGGAATTTTTCCTGTGCTATATAGCAAAAGTGGCCTCTCGGTCATTCCTCTGTTAATTTAATTTGCTTACTTGGAGGAAGCACTTCATGACTTTGCTAATCTTAAATTTTGTTTGATTAAACTCCTTTTGCCACAGCAATATGTCATAAGACACTTTTCCTGAAATGTACAGTATATAAATTTGATTAATTAATAAATTAGCTTACAATTGAAAACAGTAAATATAGACTCAGTTTACTATTAGCCTTAAAATCAGAGTAAAGAGAATCCTTGTACTGAAATAAATGTATCTTTGCAGATTCAGCTGTCTGAACAAACTTGCGAAAGACACAAAATTCAGGAACATCTGCGGACTTCACTAGAGCAGCATCAGCGAGTTTTGAGTACTTACCAGCAGAAAGTAGCTGCCCTCCAAGAAGAATGTAATGCAGCAAAGGTATTTCAAGCCAACTTAGTCCGGTTGCATCTTAACAATTCCTCAGCGAACAATTCAGTAGACAGCTTAGACAGTAAGGGACAGGAGAACTTAAGGGAGATGTGCTGTTATTTAGACAAACAGGGCTGAAAGCAGTAAGTCCATAGCATTTGCATCACATTCAGAAGCTGCTTGTGCAGATTCACTGGTGAGGGAGGAGACACAGCACAGAGGTTCTGTTAATACAGGCGACCCTTGACTTAGCAACAGTTGATTTAGTGACCATTCAAAGTTAACAATGGCAGCAAAAAAAAAAGTGACTTAGGACCATTTTTCACACTTATGACCATTGCAGCATTCCCATGGTCACATGATCAAAA